TCTTCTACAGGCTAATGCATCACAGTTTGATATAAATTGTGATGCATTAGCCTGTAGAAGAATCATCGCAAACGAGTTTGTTCGCTACTTTGTGTTTTCTTACAATAAGTATTTGAAAATTTTTGCCAAGCCTATTTGAATTCTAAGGGAATAATATGCCTTTTTCAATTTGAAATATAATGTTGCTATGTAGATAGTACCTTGCACAGTACAGGGTGGAAACGTGACCTCACTCATACCGGGACGATGCAACAACACTGGTACAATGTGTGTGGAGCATCACAACACCTATCAATGGATAGGATATTCTGATCAACACTAGTTGATTTTCACAGATATAGGGTCCAGAACATTATCCGTAGTATTGATTTTCTCACGATCATTGAAGTTTTACGGTAGAAAACAATTGATGGCGTTTTATTACCCGATAAGGTAAAAGATAAACATGATCNGATCCCTTCCCCAAAAATGTCAAGTGCATGGTCTACAGATTAAACTGAATGTTGTAAACTGAAGTGGGTATTCATGTTCAACGGCAATTCAAAGTTCGATTCATCAGAACAAAAACTGTTAGGAAGGCTAACTTTACAGTGTAGTAATAATATCAAGCAATCAGATGTGCTGGGCGTTAGTCGCCCGGTGGTAACGTCACCAAATTATCGTCCTGGAGGACGTGTATTCGAATCCCATCACTACCGCCGGCTTTCCTCATTCTGTGTTGTATGGCAGCCCTTTGATTGGCCGCTTCCACCTTCCTGAAAATTTTATCTTGTTATATTTATTAGAAGGAATTAAAAGGAAAGAAAAAACAATGTGATCAGCAAAACTCTACCAATTATCGATTGATTGGAAATGAACATCCTTTAGATCTCACCGTCACGTACTTTCATCAGCTCTTCCGGTCATCTACACACTCGAGTGGAAAAGCTGAACTTGCGTGATGGTGAAGTCTAAAGGATGTTCAGTTCCAATCAATCAATCAATATAAATGATCCCACACCACTACTCACAAGTAAATGTGAGTTAAATGCGAACAGACAATTATTCTACCAATGGTCACTTTCCAAACGCACAAACTCCTGCTTCGCAATTGAATCAAGTAATATGCAAGCCAGCTCAATATTACCGCTTCCATTGCATAGGATTTCATCAAGGAATCGATTTCTATCTAGATGATACCAGTCAGTTTCAAATGAGAAAAACGCGCGAACATAGACATGGAATCCCTCTCGCGATCATCCCGTTTTGTGGCGTATGGGATGCACTATCCTCGAATGGTCCGGTCCGAACAGTCAAAATCCCGACAGATTTCTCCTGCTGACAGTTAATAACGAGTCAGATGACACAGCTATCCGGTAATTACAAATCTTTTCCGTGATGCATAAAAGACACACTGGTGTTGCATAACGAATCACCCTCTAAGTAGTGAATGTGCGAGTAAACTGGTCCCCTGTTTCTGTATGTGTGTGTGTGCGTGAGGGGGGGGGAGGGCAACCACAATTAGTTGAAGTTATACGGAAACTACTCCCTCCGGTTATGGTGTAATGAGAATTGACTTCGAACTGAGACTGCTCTTGTTTGAATGTAGACACTATCCATCACGCCATAGCCTCATTTAATTTGATTACACGTACAGACAATAGCTAGAAGATAGTACGAATCACGAGCTATAGCATTAGTCACTTTCCCGTTGAGCTTATACCTATTCACGGTTGAACTCAGTGATCATGGGTCATTTAAACTGTTGTATTCAATAGAACTTGCAATATGCACAAAAGGAAATACTTTAATTGGGCACAAAATGAAAGCACTGTAATGCACTTACAACAACGAAAGCACGTGATCAGCCGGTACTGGTTGTACATTTCATCAACCGGAAGCCAATCGATAACAAGCAAATATGTGGTACAGTCTGATTGGTCAATGGAATCAAGGTTCCCTGTGAGGAACGTTTGTGTCATATGCGTGTATGGTTGCATGTCTGTGTGCACAAGTGTGTGTGTGTGTGTGTACACGGAGCATCGATATTGCACGTCCAATGGGAACAACGTATACCAGACGCGTTAGGTCGTGCAACACAAATCTGTGTACACTTAGTACTTGGAGTTAATAAGTACAAGAATGCTATTCGATTAGAGCACATTCGGAGGAAAAATGGTTTGTTTCGGTAATATGATTTGTTTCATACTTTGTTTACACTCATCGGCAGTGAGTGCCATTGTTGTGTCTCTAACGCGGTTTGAACCGTGAATCTCCTGGTTGAGAGTAATGACTTTTTGAGTAGGCGATATAAATTCCACACGTCTACACTGAAGAGGATAAGTCGAATCAACAGAGGAACTTCATTTAATGCCTCAGGTCAATGAAAAAACGCCCAGTCGGAAACCTATAAGGCAAAACGTTAAGCCCAAATGCCTTGCACAAATACATTGACGTTCCTCACGTTCTGTGCCGTGCTATCGGGTCGGAACGATCCCCCCGGGGTGTCTCAACACTAGCTTGTTTGGTCAGTACGAGCTCAGATCAGTGTCGGTGTTGAGACCATCAAATAACCTCAATTGTTCTAACAGGGTGTGATTCATTTGATTGAACGAATGATAGGAGGCAATTCAGTCGAGAAAACTCTAGTTAAAGCTAATAATAAATGACAGTTGATTTTATACAGTTGTTACAAAGGTTTCCGGAAAGAATAAACACGTTTGTCTGTTATGTAATAATTCTGTCTTTAGACAGCAAAAAGTTTCAAGGTTCTGAGAGTTGAAACAACAACAGAAATAATGAACCAATGAGTTTATTCATGTACAAACACTCTCGTCGAATTCATTCGGACTAATGGGGAAATTAGTAATCAGTTATGGGAATAGTGACCTCTGTTTTGAGTTCAATTGGTTTCATCACCGTCGACCCCGCCATGCATACAGACCAAGTCCGACCGCGAGGATTGTCACACCCAGTGGAATTCCGATTCCCAAAGCGAAATTCAACGCATGAGCAAATCGCACATGACGCCCGAACTGATCGCGTTCATTCACACACGGAAACGGTTGATTCGGGACGTCCATTTGCAAGAACTTGCACAACGGTTCCCATCCATCTTGCACACGATACACGAGTAGACGCTCTTTTGGAACCTTACGTTGCACGTCCGCGTTCCACTGATCAAATGCTCGGCCTAGCTGTTCATCATCCATTTGAAACACATCGCCACCGAATGTGCGGTTGAAAAAACGATTGGGCATTTCACCCGGAGAACGACCAACACGTAAAAACCATACCCAACGAACGAACCACGGGGGTTTGGGTCTTCCGTTTGCTGGTATAATTGTGGCACGGGCACTTTCAACCCACTTGTTCGTGTCTCGTACAGTTAGAATGACCTGTAGATAATAGTTTGTAAAGGAAGAGTAATAAATAAATTTCACTGATATAATAGAACATGAAAATCGTATTCGTTTTTTGCGGAATTTTATTGGAATTGTATGATTCCTTCTTGTCTACGTGTTGCTGAAATACTGAGGATTGTTAGGCATGAATTAAGTCCGATCTGCACGTCTGCTTGTACAATTTGAGCTCGCCTAGTGTGTGCCATGAGCGGTGAAGCTTTTGCGGTTAGTGACTCGGGGAATGAATGGTTTATTGCATCATCTTTAGGAGGCGGTTAGGATCGTTATACAGGTAATGACCAAACTCGTGCAACATCACCCTCATTTTGAAAACACATTTCAGCTTGCGATAGCATACTTATATATAGATGGTTACGAGTACAGTGTATTTATTCCTGACTTTATCTCCAAGATCTACGTTCTTAGTTCATTTCTATCACCATTTGAATGTGCGCGACCTTGAGTGTCGCTATAAAATTTGCAGTAGTTCGAAAGTTACAGCTCTGATTTAGAAAATATTTTGGACAGAGTAGTGCGAAATTGTACATTTTAATGGCATGTGGCTAATAGAAGCAGTGACGCAAGTGGATACTATATCAGATATGTTGCATCTGATGTGAGGCAATATCATATTCAATCCCGTGAATGAGGCTGGAAGAATAAAGAATTGGGAGGAACAAATGTGGTGAAAATCAGGATGTTGCACGAGTTTGGTCAATACCTGTATAGGCGACCTGGGAGTCCTAAATTCAACTCCCGTCACCGTCCTCTATCTTTCCATTTTCTGTATTTCACCAGGCAGCCTTTGAATGGCTGCGGTCCACTACCTGAAAGTTTACTGTAAACTTGTATAACCAGTAGACAAGAAAGGAAGTGAAATTAATTGTTTATTTTTATCCCATACCTCTAGTGCAAGTTCCGATGTGATTGTTCGTACATTTAATTTGTATATGAGTGCATTAGGTGTAGTTGTATTTGACAGAGCGCAAAATTAATTTAAGTTCAGTTTTTAGTTTGTTCATTCATTAACCATGCACGTTCGTGCACTTTCGTGGTTTTGGTTGCGCAAACAAGCAAATATTTCTCACAATGAAGATGGAAGTAACAACATAAGAGAACAATAATAACAATAATATGATACCGTGCGTCACTGAAGTCACATTGCTTTTGAAAGGTCACGTTTACTGTACCAATGGACGGTCAGTTCTAGTTCACGCTCTTCAGATTGTGATTTAGTGTGTCGAAGAATCCGGTCCTCTGGCGACTGTTGACCGCGGATGATCAGTGCGAACAGCCTGGGGCGAGCAGGTCAATAACATTTGGGGTACACCGCGTGTGTGATTGGGAGTGTACCAGCGGAAATTCATTGTTACACAGAAATCATCTGAATAAGCTACACTGAGTGGGGCAAGCACTGAACGTGACAACAGTCGTTTACANCCCCCCCCCCCCCGCCTGCGAAGTAGGACAGACACTGATCGGTGAAGTTCATGTCAGTTTACTTCCATCTCGACAAGACTGCACCTTGACATGGTGTGATGGCTTGCGTGCCTCCATGACCCAGAGAGCTACATAGGATGCCTTTTTACAGTCATAGATCCAATCATGCCTGAAAGGTCAACGGGTAGAGGTCAGACAAAGCTCAGTTTCACAAAGAAAGCTGCTTAGACAACTCCTGGCTCTCTTCTTCTATCCCTCCTCTAGAGAAGTCACTCCAGGAAAACAAACACGGTGAGGAGCAATTTGCCGGTCAAAAAACAAACCCCGCTAGATAGACGTAGAACACCTGGGGCACCTGGAGCTTCTTCTGGACGGTGGGAGAAGTCTTTTCACTTTATTGGACAGCTGCTCCCCGCCCAAGCTGGGCAGCCCCCAGCCAAAGAGGTGCTGTCCCGTTCACGTTCCGCTTGTCTCATTGGGTGCATGAGACTAAAGACCGATCCCAAAAATCGGACTGACAATCAACGCATCAGCTAACAACACAATTAATCGAAATTCAAAGGTCTTGTGTGACAGGCTTCTAGAAGTCCCCACAAGGGTGCTTCGTTCACGCTCCCACGTTGGATTTACGCTCCACCGCTTAGTGGGTCAGACTTTTGAGTCCAACTGAACTCAGTGTATTTCGATGTACGAGGATGTCAGTGATGAAGAAGCGAGCGTCTTGATATACTAAGAAGATGTCTGGAAAAAGCAATTACATGAGCATATCCAGCAGCCATTCTACGTCCAATGTTTATGAGCCAGACAGCTCTGCACAAACCTCAAAGATAAGCTGTCCATCCTCCCCTCATCTATGATTACATATTCCTACACTTGAACATGTTCAGCAAGTTGTGCAGGACGAACGATGAGACAGTTCTCACAAAGGATCCGAGAACATAAACTGGCTTGACTTAGCACGGGTTGCAAGAAAACAATAACCAGTGCGATTATGGTCCACCTCGCCGATACCGGGCATCAGCCATACAATGATGCACTTAAAGTCATTTACAAAGTGCTCCGAAACAAGCCAGAGTACGTTCGGAAGTGTCAATTGGCAACGGCCGAAGCTTTAGCAATCGAAATCATGAACCCACCACTGTGCAAGCAGAAAAAGTGGTTGCCGCATTCCAGTTGCGTTGGCCCCAACCAAACCTGTGTGATGATTGGAATCTTGATCTGGGTGAATCGTGATGACGCAACAAGGCTTGACAGATTGCACGTGAAAAAGCTCATCGAAAATTTCCAGAATTGACCTTGGCTTCGCTTAGCTGGCTGCCCCCATTTTCTGCAGAGGCTCAGATTAAACTTGACAAACATTTTGTTTCACGGTTGTCAGCTTCGTTGTCCAGTCTTCGAACTAGACAGCTCAATCGGTGACGGAACAGACCGCTTCATTTAACATTTTCTAACATGATTGAGTAATTGATAAGTGCAACAGGATTTGCACAAGAAACAAGCGTGATGAGGAACGGTCTTGTCATAGCGAGGCCCACCAGAAGTCACGTGACATCCAATATTAGTGAGCTGCCGTAGGATTTAACCTCTCATCACAAACCATAGCCTGGCTGTCTGCTGTGGTTTGTAAAAGATTAGTCAGCTTATTGCTTGTGGCGATGGACAGTAAAAACTAGATGTGTAATCCGATTCAACTTCCACTGAACTCTGGGGAACTGGTTGCCAAATCTCGACGCTACAGCTAGAGAGGTTATGTTCGTCAAGTCCAGTAGCAGTTTCGACAACTGCAGTTAGTTTCAAAATCGTACTTGAACCTCACAAATTTGAGTTTGAGACTTTACTTGCACACACGCACACACACATTTCGGCAATGAGCTTTTATTGACGGAAGGTGCTTGTTATATCACGACCTGCGGAAGCGAGTCGATCTCTAATCTCCTGTGTTTCTCGATAGCCCGGTATGAATCAGGAAGAACAGCCGATTAATCGAGGGAAAGTATATTGTTCCCTGAAGGAACCGGAGTTTAGCCTGACTACGCTCATGAGTATCTGACAGCGAAACGCTTAACAAGCACCGTTTAAAGTGAATTTACTTCACCGGAGGTGGCAGTGACTTAAACAAAGATGAAAGACCTAGCTTGCTGAAGAAGCGGCCTCAGGATATTGACGATCCTGGTCGAACCTATGCTACAAAGGAGAAGGATGCACGGGCAAAAGCTCCGAGCCTATGCCTATGCCTACAACCATGCGAAAGCATACATACGGAACAGACAGACCAAAAATAGTAACATCTCTCGAGTATGTTACATTGTCGGTCTCAAGCCACTACATCACCCCACCCACCCCCCTAAGGGAAGAACGAGAAACAAAACAACTGTGTGGACACTGCGTGTCTTAAGCCGACTCCTAACTATGTGTAGCGACACTAGTAACGCTTCGGCTGGGAAAAGATTGGCCATGATACATAATTGCAAAAAACAAAATCAGAATGAAGCGTACAGTTAATGGATATGGCCAACAGACTCAAGTAATCCGTCTAAGCGTCTATTTACAGACATTAACACTAAACAAATGGTTTTTATTATTTATTTAGTATTTTGCATATCGTACACAGTTCGACCACGAGCAACTCTTCCTTTGAAGGGGATTTGGGACGGGGTGAACTGTCTAACTGAGGACAGCCAAATGCGTCGGACACTGTCGAACGACCCGCGAGGGAGGTGCCAGACAGCAATGGAGACCCGCTCGGCTTTTATTCGAACGACAAGAGTTTCGGTTGCACAATTCAGTATGACAAACGGTATGAAAAAAGTCAAACCCGCCAGTTATGAGGCCCCATTATTCGCTTAATAGAGAAACAGTACATTGGCGTTGGGCCGCGGAATGGCGAACCCCCCCCCCCCGGGATTTCTAAGCGATGCACATGTTGCTTTACTGGACAAAGTGCAGCTCTCTCTCTTTACAACCATGCTTCTACGGTATGTTTGAACCGAATTCCATTTGCGACGCTAGTATTGTTGGGGACCCGTAACCCATCCGAATCGGTACTGGGTTAGTGATTCAATGAATAACAATGAGAATACATTAATCGAATAAACGATGGCCTAAAACTAGGTCAAGCTGGCTCACGGACAAAACGGTATGCAATGCTAATGGTCAGTGTCTGGTATGAAAAACGGTATCACATGATTGGACGATCGTTAGGAACTGATGCACGAATGCACACATACATAGCACGGAGAAAGATCTATGCTGGACTTCTGAATTACCCTCTCACAGTGTAAGATGTTGTCAAACAATGTAAGATTTTAGTATACATGTGAGCTCAACGGCAAAAAGATTATCTGAAGTTAGACAAGCTGATTGTGAACACGTTATCTGGAAGAGTCCATTTCTCTTACAATCGAAATAGATGACACCTTCGGATTCCTCTTGCAATCCTGAAACTGTTGGGTGGAACTAAAATAATTGGAGATAAAAATCATTAGTTGTCTTCACAAATTAACAGTTTATGGATCACAGTATAAATGTTCAGTGAAATTTAGCGACGCGGTCCACATACACCACCTTCCTAGACAACTATAAAGTGAAGTTGCATAACGCGAATTCATGTGTCCCAACTGGGCATCTGAGTCGTATTCGAGGATGGGTTTGACGAACCACATTCGTAGTCAGAGGAAGAATGGGTACAAACTGCTTATGACCAAGATATCACACAAGAGTCGCCGACCGCCGAAAAAACAGCTCTCAATTTTCACATATAACAACATTGATAGTAGTAGTAG